CTGGTTATGAAATTGTGATGGCCTAGAGTAGGTTAATGTCGCTAAGAGTCAGGAAGAGATAAATCAAGCAATATTTTGAATGAAGAATTGGATTGAATAAAGTAGGATTCTAGTGTCTGATTTGATATAAAATATAAATGAGAGAAAAGAATCTAAGATAATATCAAGCCTTTTAACTTGAGGGACATGGAAGCTGATGGTTCCAATGTCAGGAAGAGAGATCAGTTTGGGAAGGAATGATAGTAATACTTTCACATTGGAATGCCAAAACTTACCACTTAATTCAAATTATAGCACAAAACAATCTCTTTGCATTATAGCATGTGAATTGATGTACAGTATATGAAAAATGTGCTCAAACACTTTCTACCTTCCATGAAACTTATGACTGTAAATTCTAATTTTCCATAACTTTGGAGAGCTGCCATTTATGTGAAATGATAGATCAGAACACTTCAGAAATGATTTACTGTTTAACAAGGGATCTTGATTATGTTCATTTTTTCAATAATAAATCTTTCCCACAAGATAGCACAAAAGATAAATGTAGAAATTATGGAGTATGTCATTGTTTTATTTTAGAAGAAGATTTACAGTGCATAGTAGCAGAAAAAAGATGCAGGCCCCAAATGTGAAAGCTCCTTTTTTCCCCTGATGAATGAGTCATTTATGCTTTTAATAATAATGATACTCATGGTAATAGCTAATAATGGATATGTTCCTAAATATAAAAGGTCAAAACATGAAAAAAATTAGAAGAGAATACTATCAGATATTTTTCATAGCTCTGACTAGAGAGATTCCTAACAAAATGAGGACAGAAGTAATCAAAAAGATAAAATAGATAATGTTAATAAAATTGAAAAGGTTCTGCATGAACAAAATCAGTGCAAGTAGGATAAGAAAGGAAGCTGTCAAATGGGAAGAAAAAAAGATCTTTGTCTCTGATAAGGTTCTGATAGCCAAGATATATAGGGAAATACAGGGAAATACCACAATATTATAAGACCAATAGCCATTCTCTAATAGATAATGGGTCAAAAATACAAATAGTTTTCAAAAGAATAACTATGATATATTAAAACCATAACCATTCACACCTAATAAAAGATATCCAAGTCAAAAGAGCTCTGAACTTTTCTGCATCTCAAGCAAATATGACAAAAGATGGGAATAGTCAATGTTGGAGGGATCATAGAAAAACAAGTAGACATTTAATATATTGCTAGAAGGACTGTAAATTGGTCCATCCATTTTATAAAGTAATTTGGAGTTATGCTAGCACACTAAGTAAAATATCCACCTCCTTTGACACAAAAGTCCAATAGCCAGGTGCCTTCTTAGAGGTCAGAACAAGAAAGAAAAATCATATATATATATATATATATATATATATATATATATACATATACATATACACATATATATATTACTATACCATAAGAAATCATGAATATGATTCATTCAAGCTGCATGGAAAGACATATATATGAACTGATGTACAGTAAACAGAACCAAGAAAACAATACACAAATTGATTAAAGCAGGATAAGTGAAACCAACAACAAAAACAAAACTAAACTTTGACCAACAGTATGTAGAAGAATTATAGGCTCCAAATTTAAAAGGGTTAGTGTTAGAGTTGGAATTATAGACTTTATTTGGGGTTAAGGCCTACTTGACCTTGGAAAAGAGATGAGAAAATGTACTTCCTTCCATTCTGTTCAGTGGTGGACTGTGGTTATCATTGCTGTCAGACTTCATTGAAGTGTTAGTTTTGCTGAGCAATCCTTTTTTTTTTTTTTTACAATTTCTGCATTACAAGGGATGACTTATTAGAGAGAGATGTGCATAGAACTTGTAAACTTTAAACTTCTATAGAAATTTTACTTATTATATTTTACCTTAAGAAAAAAAATCGTACTGAAAGTGACAGCTCAGATTTATTTTAACACTTTCTAGTTTATAAAATGCTTTGTCCACCACAACCCTGCAAGACTGAGAGATCATCTTTCTGCAGCATTTTCAGTGTTGGCAGCCCCCTCCTTAGAGCTAGCCAGCATTTATATACCAATTTAATGTTTGTAGAATACAAATATTATCTCCTTTGATCTTCACAATTCTAGGAGGGAGGTGCTGATGGAATATACATAGTTATTCCTTGACATTAATAAAGGAAACTTCCTCACTGTAACCTGTGAAATCACAGATCTTCCCCATTGCCACCACCATTACTAATCTAGCTATTAACAAAATGTTTTAATTATATTTAGGAGTCTAATATAAAATTTAAAAAATGGATTAGAGAAATGGAGGGGCTTAAAGCAAGTAGATTAATCAGAATGATTATGCAATATAATGCAAGTGAAAGGGAGTGAGAACTTGAACTCTGGTTGTAGTAATTTTTGTTGAATAGAAATAATGGATGCAAGAGATGCCAAGTTACTAAAATCCACAAGATTTCACAAGTGATGGCATGTTGGGGTTGGGGGAGTTGGAAGAATTGAGGATCACTTGGAAGGATACAAAGTTGGGTGTTGGGAAAGGTAGTATTATCCTCAAAAGAAATAGAAAAGTTAGGGAAAGGAGTAGATTTAAGGGAGAAGGCGATGAGTTCTTTTTCAGGCATGTTGAGTTGTAGAGGTCTACAGATACCCAGTGGGAAATGCTTAAGAGGAAACTGGTACGAGACTGAAACTTAGAAGTGGCAATAGTGCTGACTTTGTGTATCTAAAAGTCTTCCCAGAATGATAATTGAACCCATGGGAACTGGGAAGATCAGTGAGAGAGAAGGTATAGAGAAAGATGAGGACACAGATCAGAGCTTTGTGCTATTCATTATTCATTTAGGAGATAGGACATAAGTGATGACCCAGCTAGGATCTGAGGAGAAGTAGCCAGACAAGTAGGAAGAAAAAAAGAGAGAGCAGAGAAGAGGGGGTATTTAGGAGGGCAGAGTGATCCATTAGAATCAAATACTTCAGAGAGGTCAAGAAGAATATAATCTAAAAAGGAGGTATTAGAACTAAATTTCCTCAAGAGTATATACATATATGTGTGTATGTGTGTGTATATATTTTCCCAAGAATATAGGTATATATATACATGTATATGCATGTGTGTATCCACATACACATGTGTGTATATACATATATATATTTGTACACATACATATACAAATGCATACTCTGTATTCTAGATAAACATACACCTCACTTTTCAAATAAAAACATGTGTGTATGTGTGTTTTATTGAGTACAGTATGCTAAGACGCAACACTGCTAGAGATTCCCAGAAAGGAGATGCTGTTTAGTCATTCAGTCATGTCTGACTCTTTGTGGCCACCTGGACCACAGCATCCTCCATGATCTCTTGAAGTCTGTCCAAATTCATGTCTGTTGTTTCCATGACACACAGGACACTCGGCAGCAATCTGTCACAAACATATTTCAAATTACACAGGCCAATGTCATTTGATAGTGTTAGCAAAGATTCGCCTTCCTAAAATGATACTAAAACGGGACCCTGGATCTTCCTTGTCTTCATGATGCACTACTGTTTAACTGGAATGCTCTTTTGCAGAAGTAGAACTCAGCAGGTCCCATTTTACCTTTACTCCTGCTATTAAATTACTGTTGCCTCTTCTTCTATTTTGGTTGATTTCCATCTAAACACTTCCTCAATTTAGCGTGAAACGGTTTAGAGGACAGGTTTGGAAGTAAGCTACATGTGAAGTTACCTTTGAAAAAAAAATCCCTGGGTTTTGTTTTTGTATTTAGGGGAGGAAGAGGGATAGTTCTATATATGTAGAAGGATCTATTATGGTTACATGTTTTAAAGATGATAGAACTGAAAGTTGGATCGGGCAGTTCTCTGTAATGGAAACTATTGAGGAAAAATTACAGTGTCATATAGCTCTCTATTATCAATTGTAAACTTCTTATTCTTTACCAGGATATCCAGCACTCCCAACTCTAACCGTGATGCATGTTTCCATGGAGTTATCACCCCTGGAGTAGACTACCATAAAAAATAATCTGATCATTCCCTACGATTGATAATGTTAAGAATTATGGAACCTGGCACAGTTCATGTTTTTGTACTGTAGACCAGCTTTAGTTCATTTGGCTCACTAAAGGGATAATTTTTATAAGACTCATCTTGCATTTGTCAAATAACATAAAATATAATTGCAAATCTTGTCTATTTTTGAGCATATTTAAGTAACATTTTCTTCCAATTTTATTCTTATGTGTTTCTCTCAGGGCTCTAATTATTTATATTATCAAATATACTGATTTGTACCAAAAAGCTAATCAACTTTTATTAAGAATGGATTTTTCTTCAGATCAACTTTATGCTGTTCAAAAGTGCAATTTTACATTTTTATCAGTGACCTGGATAAAGCCTTGGCTGGTATGGTCATTAGAATTGCAGATGACAACAAACTGGAGAAAATAGCTAACACAATGGATGAAAAAGTCAGTGTCCAAAGGAATTCTAACAAACTAGAGCTTTGGACTGAATGTAACATGATGAAATTCAGTAGAGATTAATGTAAAGTCTTGTGCTTCATTAAAAAAAAATTATAAGAAGGGATAGGCATGGACAGTCAGAAATTGTTCCGAAGAAGATCTGGGGGTTTTAGTGGACAGCAAGCTCAATATGAGTCAGCAATGTAATGTGCCAGCCAAAAAGTTAATGTAATTTCATGGTAGCATAAAGAAGGCTATAGCATCCAGGACTTGGGAGATGGTAATTCTATTATACTCTTGCTATATTAAAAGCTTAGGTTCACTTATATTTTGCCCTTGTCATACCTCATCTGCATTATTGTGTTCAGTTCAGATATCACACCTGTACAAGTAAGTTTTAATAGTTCAGCAGATAAGGAATTTCATTGTTGTGGACATCCTCTTCATTGGTGCATATGTTGCATGAGTTGTGGAACTCATTTGTGCCTCCACATTTGTGTGATTCTTTTCCATATTCTTCCATAGGTCTTCAACAGATGCTCCTCAGATCAAACAAATATAAATTGTAATATGGTAAATAAAATAAATAAAAGGTGCTAAGAGATAAGCTGATGAGGACACATAGTCCAAAAGAGAAGATCAAGGGAGGTTGCCTGGAAGAAATGATATCTGAGCTGTGTCTTGAAAAATGGACAGTATGCCAGCATTTGAAGATGGGAGAGAAGAGTGGTGATGTTCCAGGAATGGGAAGAAATGAACAGTGGTGGAGGCAGAAACATTTTGGATGTAGTCATGAGGCAGCAAGTAATCCAATAGGCACAAATTAGATCACATAAAGAGGAGTGAGGTGAGATAAATGTGGAAAGGTTAATTGGAGAAGGAATGAAATAAAAAATATTTATTAAGTACTCAATATGTGTTAGTCATGGTGCTCTGCGCTTGGGATGTGAATGCAAGCAAGTGAGCAAGAAAGTTAACGACATTGTGGGTGGCCTTGATTTCCTGGAAGCCATTAACAATTTTTAATCAAGGGAAAGATGAGAACATATTGGTTCATCAGGGTAATCAGTTTGGCCACTATATGTAGGATAGTTTGGAGGATGCAAAGATTGGCTACTGGGAGACCTGTTGGGAGGTCATCATTGTTATCCAGCATAGAGGCAGTAATAGCCTGAACTAGCTGGGGGACAGTAGAAATGGTAGAGACAGAAAGAAATACTGAAGAGGCAGAACTAGAGAGATGGGATGTATGTTAATCATGTAGGTTGCCAAATATTCTCATTAATCTGAGACATCTTACAGACACTTAAACCAACATTGGGTGTGTCCTGATACAAATTCTAAGAGACAAAGTTGTGAACATAATACGTTTATTAGTAAGGCTGGCAATTACCAATAAATGGAGTTAGTGGCCTCTCTTAATGACCAAAGACCTGGAGTTGAAGACTGACAGTGTCTTTGTAGAGGTGAACAAAATGACAGAGCAAAATCTCAAACTAGACATTCAATGATGAGATAGGATAAGTGTTTTCTCAGTTTCTCCCCATTCTATCTTTGCGAGATGAGATCAGTTTTCAGGTGATGGGAGTAGTCTGAGGGTGAGGGGAGTTACTACAACAGTTTTAAATCAATTAGATTGGCCTTTAGGTTAATCAAGTTTCTCTGGGTGACGGGTGGGTGGGTGATAGGTGAAGTTACAAGGTGGGGGGGGGGGCGGTGGTACAAGTCACAAAACGCAAAGGTGGAGATACAAGTCACAAAAATAGAATTGAGTGATCTGAGGTTACCTGAGTAAACCTACAAGGGTAAGGCATTTAGAGTCACACAACAAAGGGGAATATTAAATCTATGCCAGCTTGATTATGTCTTAACAAAAATAGAATTAAAATAAATTTTCAGTCTCACAGGTGTTTTACATAAGTAGAATATTGAAATGCTATAGTATTATACTGAAAATTCAAGAACAAGCCCAATAGTAATTATGATTGGGGGGAAAATTCTGTTTCTGATTGCCTTACTCTTCAAATCCTAAGTTTAGTGCATCAATACAAATTTTTCAATTATTTATTTTTTAGGATAACAGCCCACTTAAACAAAACAAATCAATATGTGTCCTGTCCCATTTTTCTGTGCTCTTTGTAAAAGGAGTCCTTTGGTCTTGGAATATGCTTGTTTTCTTTTATTTTGCCATGATCATACTTGATTTATATAGAAGAATCCAATCCTGCTTAAACTTCCCTGTATGTCTTTGTCTGGAACCATGGCACTGCAGGCTGCATTTTCTCTAGCTTCTGCAGGCTTACTTAACGTCATCTAGTCTTGGGCATTGCTTGGTTGGAGAATATCCATGAGCAGGGAATGATCTTGGCAACTCAATACTGTATTCCTGCTCAGGGTTACAGGACACTGTCATAAAGTTAGGCTGTAGAACCATAGTTCAAAAGATGAAAAACCAACATTTCCACTTCTGATAGGCAAGGTAAAGCAAAAGATACTGAAGCTTCTCTTGATTAGCCAGTCACATTGTTCAAAGACCTTCTACTGTACAAAAACTAATCTGGGGCAGCTACGTGGCGCAGTGGATAGAGCACTGGCCCTGGAGTCAGGAGGACCAGAGTTCAAATCTGGCCTCAGATACGTAACACTAGCTGTGTGACCCTGGGCAAGTCACTTAACCCCATTGCCTAACCAAAAAAAAAAAAGAAAAAAAAAGAAAACTTAATCCTCATAGAATCACGAGATTGTAATAAAAGATCAGAAGAGACCTCAGAGGCCAACAAGTCCAAACCCTTCATTCTACAGATGTAGAAACTGAGGCTTAGAGAATTTAAGTGACTAAACTAGCTAGCTTCATGTCACAGTGCCTGAGACAGGATTTGAACCTACAGTCCTCTGATTCCAAATCCAATGCCCTAACTGCTATGCAATACTGCCTCTCAAACATGAATAATTCCTGTGAACTGAAATCTTTGTTTTTAAATCCCCACTGCTGAAGTTTAAACCTACTTACTTTGGAAGAAAATAGAGAAAAAAGTCATAATCATCCTTCTTACTATTCAAATCCAAAATTGAATTGTCCCTCTACCTTCTTTTCTCAAGGCTGATTAGTCTCAATGATCTTTTCTTCATAGATCGTAGTTTGAAACATTTAATCAACTTCCTTGCTCTCCAAGCCTTCTCTCAACTCCTTATATCCCCTTAGGTTGCTGAGAATTTCACAGTGGTGCACTCAAGTTTGCTACTTGCTATGCTTCTATTTATGTATCCTGATAGCATTTTTGCCTTATTTTTTCCTCAATAGCAGCACCATATTTGTGCTAAATTTAATTTTGAATGCTTATAATGTGCTAGGTATTGTGTATATGAATAGAATGTTAAAAAGCCTAGCTCCTCTCCTCAAAAAACATTTGAATTCTAAAATGCCTTTGCATTTATTTTAAATTTGTGATCAAAGATAGTGAACCATTGAGCAGAACCAAATCCTAGTGCTGATTTCACTTACCTCCTTCTATACTTTTAAATGGACGTAGCTATTATCAGGGTTGTCTTATCTTCAAAAAGTCAGCTAAGTAAATTCCCATGTTGCCAATGCCCTACCCAGTGTTGCTAGGAGTGTAATTAATCTTCCGCCTGCTTGGGTAGAGCAAGAAGATCCTAGTTATCCTCTAAGATACTTCTGTACAGTATAATAACCCTAGTCTGTTCTTATCTCTCTGTTTCCAAAATATACCTTCAATGTAGTGAGTTGTTCATCCTTTGTTCTCAAAGAGGATCAATCATGCATGATGTCTTGACTTGTGCATGAACTGGATTGAGTGAGGCAGAGATGTGCAAAGTCATCAGCCTCACTCTGTCCTCCAGAGTCACAGGAGTCCAGTGGCAAGACAAAGGCCAAGATGTCTAGTGATGGTAGAGGATCATTCTCAGATCCAAGAACACTTCAGAGTTGTGATTTCAGTGCTACAGGAACTACCTATGAGGAAACTGAAAACGTCTGTAGATGTAACTGCCTCTCCCAATGCAGAGGGATACATATCCTGAAAGGTGTAATCTTAGAGTTACCTGGTTGTTGTTTAGTCATTTTCAGATTAAAATGTGAGCCAGAGTCACAGAAACTGGATTTCAAAAGGTCTTTGTGGCTGAAGGCCAACTGTCTATCCATTACATCACATAGCCTCTCATTATGCTACTGTCTATAAGGAGGGTTGAACTAGGCAATCTCCTAGAAATTAACTAGTTCAACCCTTTTACTTTACAAAAGAGGGCACTGAGAATTAAAAAAAGGAAGAAACTTAGGGAAGGTAATGTTGAAAGTAGGTGGCAGAGAGGGATCCAAAAATCCAGGGCTCTGAATTTTCTTTAATTGACTGATTTAGTCACATTTGAAATCTTACCTCCCCTTCTCCCACCCCACCCCTTGTCACATTCCTACAAAGATACCCAATGTCCAAAAGAATAATTTGACATTGGGGAAAATCTGGTTCAGCAAGCGAGATATTTCAGTTACATCTTCTTTAAATAAAATCTATCTTAGAATGTCTTAGTTTAGAGAGCATAGAGGTAAATTATGTAAATTCTCATTATGAAAATGTGATAGCCTTCATTTGTGTAACTTCAGTCTGAAAACTGCCATTGGGCAATAGAATGGTTATTGCTTCTCAGTAATATAGATACATATGTGTGTGTGTGTGTGTGTGTGTGTGTATTTGGCTTCATGGAATAAATCATTGAAAATAAATTTTCTGTCATAGTAGCCAGTAATTGGTGACATTTTCTTGTCACCATGGGATTATAAATAATAACAATATATGCACTGCCAACAGGTTCATTGAGTTACTTTTTTTTTTAAAAAGCATAAACCAGTAGTCCATTCTCTTTAACAACACTTTACAATTCTCAAGTATGGTATGAATATTTCCATAGATTTTCAAAGTACATGGTCGACTTTTGTTCTCTGGTTATTCAACATTTATTTTTATCACTCTTCACGTTTATTTCTAATTTAGAGCTTACCCAATAAGCATATTCTTGTGACTAAGTATAGTTAGAAAATAGGTGATAAGTAGCTGCTCAGTGAGGCAGTTCTTTCAATAACACAGTTACAAAAATTTGAATAGGGTGGGAACATGGTGCAGTGGAAGAAGTCCTGGAACGTGGAGGACAGAAACAGGGTTCATCTTAACCTCTGTCATTTAAAAACAACACCTGCTGTGAGCTATTGTGAAGATCAGATGAAACAGTATATGTAAAGCGCTTTGTAATCCTTAAAGAACTATTTAAATGTAGATGTCATTATGATTTGCCTAAGTGATCTTGGTCAAATCACTTAGCCTCTCTAGGCTTCCATTTCTTCATGTGTAAAATTGAGGCAGTTAGACTAGATCAGTGGTATCCAACTCAAATAGAAATGGATCCCTGCCAGAGTCATATTGATTTAGAAAACCACAAATTAACATCACCTGTGTGGTATTATTGTATTTTTATCATTTCTCAGTGTCATTTTAATTTTGTTCAGGCAACAACACAGTTACTTTGGATACTTCTGCACTAGATGGTACCTTCCTTCTGT